GCCCCAACCCTAAAAAAGGAAATAAGGGCCTACTCCGGGTCCTAGAAACCCTAAAGGCAGCGGCCAGGAAAGGGCCGTTGGGAGCAGGGGATGAGTCAGCGGGCTGTCAGGCCTACAGCCTGGGAGATGTGGAACAAAATGTATCTGATTTTACAAGGTTTAGGGCTTATAGGGTTTAGGGTTTATAGGGTTCAGGGTTTAGGGTTTAGGGTTGAGGGTTTAGGGTTTAGGCCCCGCCCAAACCGGGAAACCATACACACAAAGACACAGACCCTTGCGAACATCTTGCCCGGGACATGCAAGCACCAACTGCACGAGTGTGGCCTCCAGTTGGCCAGCTGCCACGGCGAAGGGGCATCAACTGAACAAGCTAATTTTAATGCGGTTTGGGGGGGGGGGGGTGATTATACTAGAACTGTAGTAAGGAGCCCAAAATAGTATTGGTGTTTAGTTTGCACTCTATATTACAGGGTTTAAGGCTTAGGCTCGCAGGCTTCACGGTGGAGTGATTAGAGCTTGTGGCACAAGCATAGCGTTTTAGGGTTTAGGGTTTAGGCTTTGAATCTTCATGTCCCCAGCTACTGACCCTAAACCCTAAACCCTCAACGCTAAACTACTGCTGTCAAAAAGTGAACTTGAACAAAAAAAACAACAGCGTCCCCAAATATCCACAAACCCTGGCACTGGAGCGACCCCAGCTTTAGGTAGGCTGGGGTTAGAAACACCTAGGCCCTAAACCCCCTGAGAAACACCTGAAGCCCGACTCAGTTTGCAAGTCCTCAAAAAACCACCCTTCGAACGCTAAACCCTAGGCCTGACAAATGCTTGAAATCCCTTCGAACGCTAAACCCACAACTCTAGGGCTCAGAAATGCTTAGAAACAGTTCGAACACTGAACCACCAACTCTAAGCCACTGCAACGCTTTCACCCATGAACCCCTGAATCTTGCGAAGGCTAGATTTATGAGCAATGAATTCGATGCAAATCCCCGGGGCATGAACTTTACCAAGGCCCATCAGCCCAGCCCCAGGCGCCTAAGCCTTTTTAAACAAGTAAACCCTACCCCACTGTCCAGCCTGTTAGGAAGCCGTGGTGGGGTGGCGGCCGTCCATTTGCGTAGCCTGAACCGGGGCTGAAGAGTGGGGGCGTTCGGGGCTCCCGGTGTTAGGGTTTGAAGGCTTTGGGTTTAGGGCTTAGGGTTTAGGGTTTAGGGTTCGGGGTTCAGGGTTCAGGGTTTAGGGTTGGGGTTTAGGGGTTTAGGGGTTTAGGGCTCTAGGTGGGAGGGTTTGGAGTTTTGTTGGCGTGGCCGGCTGGGGGTTCGGGAGGCCTTACCGGGGGGCCGGTGGGGCTCAGGGCTTTAGACAGAACAATCCCAACTTACAGCACTTTATTCTCGTCGTGAAACCAAGCAGCCACATTTTTGACTCTGGAGGTCGAGTATGATTGGAGTCTGCCCGGGATGCCGACACTAAGTGGCCAAGAGCCATCGAAACCTCATATCGCCTTTCCCAAAGGGTCTAAGTACTTATATGGTAGGTACTTTGAGGCCCAAAATATCTACTATATGTGTACTTAGACCCTTTGAATTTCCCATCCTCTGAATTTGAACACTCAGCCGTAGCCGAACGCTATTGCATTCACGGCGTCTCCTATTCTAAGCCAAGCTGCTGCAAATTTCCCAGATCCGCGCTGGTGCTGACACCTGTTAGCCGATACAGAAGTGTTCTGCGGTCTGTAGGGTCAAGGGTTGATGTTGCAGGCCCTAAACCCTAAACCCTAAACACCTAACCCCTAAACCCTAAACCCTAGGGTGAAGGGTTGATGTTGCAGGCTATGGACGGAAGAAGCAGACCGCAAGCGCCTCGATTGGACCATGCTCAGCATGTACCCGTGCTGTAGGGTTTCGGGTTGAGGGGTAAGGGTTTGTAGGATTCCCAAAGGGTCTAAGTACTTACATGGTGGATACTTTGGGGCCCAAAATATCTACTATATGGGTACTTAGACCCTTTGGGATTTGCGGTCACTACAAGTATGGCTACAGGATTTTTTAGTGCGGCGCTGTATTTCAGTAACTAAACTCCCGTGCGCCTGAGGCTGCAAGGCATAGGATTCCAGGTATGACGGTCCGGGGCTTGAGGCGATGCAAGTTCAGGGCTTAGGGGTTTAGGGTTTAGGGTTAAGGTTTAGGGTTTAGGGTTCAGAGCTTTGAGTTCAGGCTGTAGAGTGTTCAGGTTTAAGACTGGGGGTTCAGGGTTAGGGAAACTTCATGGTACGAAGGTTTATAGAATGAAACCAAAGTCATCAAGCCCGAATCGCATGAACGGAGCAACTCCCAACAAGCCTCTAACCCCTCAAGTTTAGGGTTTAGGGTCGAAACCCAAAGGGTCTACGTAAGTACCCATATAGTAGATACTTTGGGCCCCAAAGTACCTACCATATAAGTACTTAGACCCTTTGGGAAAGTTGTGGGCTTGGGTGACTTGGGTCGACAGAACTGATGCAGCCTCTCCGTCGACAGCCCTTGGCGGCGAGAGGGGAGCAACACGCACCTGGGTTTAGGGTTTATCGTTTTGGGTTTTGGGTTTGGGTTTAGGGTTTAGGGTTTAGGGTTTAGGGTTTAGGGTTTAGGGTTTAGGGCTGATGAAGCGGAATTTTCGAATCTCCGGGAAAGGCAGCCGAGAGAACTTAACCCCCACTAAGGCCTAGGGCTATAAGTTTGTAGCGAAAGTTGATAAGACCTTCTTTCCAGACCACCGACTCCAAACTAGAGGTGTCACACTCTTATAAAAAAAATCTACAAGGGAGACTGAGCACCCTCTATGTAGTTGGGTTTAGGGTTTAGGGTTCAGGGTTTAGGGTTTAGGGGTTTAGGGTTTAGGGGTTTAGGGTTTAGGGGTTTAGGGTTTAGGGTTTAGGGTTTTAGTTGGGGTCACACGTATACCGTACCTTTCATGTGTGTCACCCCGTACCCTATGTACAGAAACTTACGCTGAATCTCGGATCCCGTGCGCAACATCAAGACCTCACGGCCCGAAGCCCACAGCCACCGAACCTCTACAGCAAAGGCCTCCAAGCTCCCTGTTTGACTGCAGCAGAGTCGCAATGTCCTCCGCGAAGGCCTTGTGACAATGGGCAGGATGTCAGGCAAAGCCAGTTTTCGGTTTGGGTCTGAGTCTTGAGGACACCAAAACCCTTGCGAACCCCAAAAATCTACTAGCAACCTTCTGGGGCTGAGAAGCGCAACAAAAACTGGGAAAGGGAGACCAAGCAATATGCCACGGGGAAGTGCAATGTAAAACCGATAGCGACATTCCGATCCTTCAAGAGGGTCTCCTGTTACAACCTCGACTAACCTAAGCCCGAACCTGAGCCATAAAAGCGGCCTTATCAAAAGAATGCTACTTCATGCAGCACACCATCACACATGAATCTTCATGAAACACAAAACACCTAGGCCCTGAAACCTAAACCACCAACCCCCTAATGACAAAAACCACCCCCACAAAAAAAAAAAANNAAAAAAAAAAAAAAAACACTTCAGGTGGGACTTCGAACCCCTTCAAGAAGCCAGCAACAAAAGCCCATGAACACAACTCAAACTAGGAATCGTGCTACCAAGCCATAGACTTACTGGTACCGACAGTGGAGATCGGGATGAAGCCCCCCGAAGCCCCGCACCCCCCCCCCCAACCACCCTTTACCAAAATAGTCTCCAGCCCAACATGACCGGTAGAGGAACCCCGATAGAACCCTGAGCCTAGGTTCCCCAGTAACCCCTGAAGGAAAAGGGTGATTTTCGGATGTTAATACGGAGACCCCCCCCCCAAAAAAAAAAAAATAAATAAATAAAAAGAACAAAATGGTACTACTGGGGAACCTCGTAACCTAGACGAAGGAGCCCCTGCAGCTCCGTTTCAAAGTCGCCTCTTTGCCCAAGGCTTGCAGGGACCAGGGCTTTAGAACCTCGCCATCGACGAAGTCCTCAACTTGGCTTCTAGCGAGACTCCCAAGTTGTGCTTGAAGGCTTCGATGTTGGGAGTTAGGATTAGGGGGATTTTGGGGGGATATAGACCCTCTCAATAAGGTCCCTTTCAAAAAGCCAAAAGTAGGGTTCAGAAGGATGGCCTAAAGAAGTTTCTATGTCTGCTGTATGGTAGCTGATAAACTGGGGACTAGGTCACAGAGCTCTCAATCTGGCGAGTTGCAGGAAATAAGCGAGCCTAGTATACAAGCTACATCGTAATTCGCGTCGACATTGCAGTTCCTTTTTTTGGCTTGACCAATTTCATAGTTAGGATCCCTAAACCCTAAACCCTAAACCCAAACTCACCCAAAGCAGGAACTAAGGTGGAGACCATAGGGTAGTCATTCGGGGTTTCGGGTTTGGGGTTGAGCCTTCAGGGAAGTTAGGCTCAGGGCTAGAGTCTAGCGCAGATACTGCTATCATCCTTCATCCTCAGCCTCCAGCAAAACCTTCCCATAACCCGGCCTATCTACCTGAGCCTCTGAACTACCGTTTAGGGTTTAGGAAAGTTTAGGGTTTAGGGTTTATCTATATTTCAGGCATACCTTGCAGGATAGTATGAATCGTGTTTTGTGAGCGCACGGTTTTTCAGCGATCCCTGTATGCCCTACGCACGACCTCCCTTGTCCGTTATCGTCCAGCTACTTGAATCCAACAACACTATACCGTCCTTACACCCTACTGAAAAAGACTCTAAGGGGCCCTAAACTACTATGACGCCTGAACCTGCTTAAGAAACCCTGGACCTTTATTAGGGTTCTGAATATGAACCCTAATATATATTTTTCATAAGGCAGGGCTTCTTGATCAGGTTCCTACATTACACCCAGCCAGGAAAACCGGAACCAACACGCCCTACATGCGTGTCCAAGCGCCCAATAAGTACCTGGACCAGGCTTTGCAAAGGAACTGCAGCTTAGTACTCGAGGGAGTATATGCTGATGCGCAGATTATGACTATACCGATTGCGATGATGATTCGGTTCGATCATAATTACATATGTGTGTTTTTATCACTGTTTCTATGTTCGTCATCATTCAGAACAAACTGCTGTTGGGCGGTTTGGGGTTTAGGGCCCTAAACCCTAAACCCTGAACCCTAAACCCTGAACCCTAAACCCTGACCCCTAAACCCTAAACCCACTAAACCCTAAACCCTAAACCCTTAACCCCAAAGGGGGACTCATCGGGCTAAAAAGTTCCCGGACCCCAGTCCTTCAGCACAACAGGCTGCGCTGCAGTAAGCTGCACAAGCACGGCTTCCGGCTCCTGTAGGTTAAGGCCGTCAAGGCTTTGGGTTTAGGGTGTAGGGTTTAGGGTTTAGGATTTGGGATTTAGAGTTTAAGGGATCAGGGATTAGTAGTTCGATGATTACGGTTACTATGATTATTGTTATTCGTTATCCTTTCTGCTAGTATGCTCATCACTATTATTACTATCCCTTACGATCTAGGGTTTAAGAATTTGGGTGTCTATATTAATATTGTCTAGAACCCTAAACCCTAAACCCTAAACCCTAAACCCAAACCCCCTGACGCCTGGACCTGAGAGTGCCACAATTCCCTCGGCCTCTCGTAGGTTTCGATGCAGAGGGCCCGTTAGTGGGAGGTTTACGGTTTAGGCCCCCCTAAACCCTAAACCCAAAACCCTAAAGTCTAAACCCTAAACCCTAAACCCTAAACCCTAAACCCAAAACACAAAACCCAAAACCCTAAACCCAGTTCAGGCTTTCTTGGAAACGTAGTTGTCCCAACGAAGGCCTCCGTGGTCTGATGGGCACACACTTTCGGGTTTAGGGTTTAGGGTTTAGGGTTTAGGGTTTAGGGTTTAGGGCAGTCAGGACGATGCATATGTGGGCGTTGTGAAAAGTAGGGGTATCCTACTGTTGATGATATAAACCCTGCCGTACCTCAAGGACCCTAAACTATGAGGATTAGGGTATATTCCGTATTATGGCATTATGGGTGATGCAGGATTTATATCATCAACCGTATGTCTGGGTACCATATATTATATGGGGCCTCTTTCTGTCTGAGATCCCCGCATACCCTTCTGTACCACAGAGACATAGATTGCAAACTTTTAAACGAGACCTCACACGATTGGAGACATCCCGACCTGGGGCGTTTGAACTTGTGTTAGGCATGAGCGCCTCAGGCTACAAGTGGTGGAGTACAGCACCTGATCGGGTTTGGGGTGAAGGGCTTCGAGTTTCGGGTTTAGGGTGCTTGGGTTTAGGCTTTAAGGTTTTAGGGTTTGTTGAGCCCCTTTGTCCGATTGCAGTACCGGTCTGAACCTTAGGGTTTAGGGTCTTGGCTTCCTGCCAAACCTAAACCCTAAACCCTAAACCCTAAACCCTCCCGGAAACCCTAAGCGGCCCGTTTGTCAGGGTTGACGTGTAGGATCGAAGCTCCCCACGCGCAAGGCCCAGCTTAAGGGAGCGACTCACAGTGGCTTGTTCAAGCCTTAAGCTGAAGGTCTGTTCGGACGGCTTAGGGTTTAGGGTTTAGGGTTTAGGGTTTAGGGTTTAGGGTTTAGGGTTTAGGGTTTAGGGCTTAGGATCTAAGATATGTAGAAGAGCATGTAGCTGTGAGTGACCTCGGAGTCTGCGGTATGGCATCGAGTTATGAACCATCTCGGTCAAACGTCCTTCGAATAAACTCTTCCGGGCCCCGAGGAAACATGCACATAATCCGATACAACCCGAATTTCTCCACGGAATGTGTCGAATGCGCTCGACGAGATCCAAAAACAAGCTCCTCAACTCGTTGTTGCAACAGCGATTAAGACTCAGGTTCGGCTGCAGTGCTAAACTTTCAACCCGAAGCCCGCAAACCCTCAAGTGTTTCGGAGTCATCACCCTGAACCCTAAACTCTAAACCACTAAACCCTAAACTTTAAACCCGAAACCCGCAAACCCCAAGCCCTAAACCCTCAACCCGAAGCTCCCCCAAACCCTCAAGTGTTTCGGAGACATCGGTTGTCTGCCCAGGCCTGCTCAGTCGGGATCGGCTGCGTCTCGAAGCCTTTAGGCGGAGTTGGCTAACTTAGCTTTAGGATGTACTCTTGAGCGCGACAGTACGTGCAAGTTATTCACAGGATAGAGCAACCTACTGAGAATACACCCCGCATTGACTCTGGATAGGTCATATCATCACGAAATCATCCTCATCGTCGTGGTAAAGGTAAGTGGATGAATGTATGGAAGTAGACAGGTAACTATATAGGTACCCTAAACCCTAAACCCTAAACCCTAAACCCTAAACCCTAGAAGGCCGGAATGGAGGAAGGAAGGGAGGACGGGATGGCAGGCAGGCAGGCAGGTAGGGGGATAGTAAGGTAAAAGGCTCGTAGATGTTCATTTGCGTATGAGATACATACGTATGTGTATATAGGTCTGTACATCAAGCAAGGAAGATGTATATACATGTGTACCTCCAATTCAGATCTATGTGAGACTGTGCAGAAGCTGCCTTACGCAATCCTCCTGCCAAGCTACCGAACTGAAATGCTGCCACGACATCCTCCTTGTCCTGCAGGAAAGTGCACAGGAATGTGACGGCAGGATCTGCTCTTGTAAAGGCCATACTCCAAACTTGAACCCCTAAGGCTACCGGGCTTGGGGCCTTCACAGCTGGGTTGTTTCACGACACCAGTATCCAGGCCAAGTCTGCAACCTACGTACTGCTGCACAGACGCCAGCACTTCATTACTGGACAGCTACGGGCACAGGGCCATCTTGCTGATTCTATCCCTCGCGGGTTACAACTTTAAAAAGCCAGCCAGCTCAAAACCCTGATTCCTACGACCCGTAAGAACTTGAGTTAGCAATGACTCAAGGAATGAAGTGGTGAAAAACGTAGTCAGTAAACCTCTCTCAGGACCCAAACACTTCCCTCGCCCCAAGCCACACAGCTTAGAACTACCCGTAGGCCCCATAGTAGTTCTTTTCTTGTGGCTTATATTTAGGATCCTTTCAGGGATTCCCAAAAAGGAACTACTATGGGGCCTAACCCTAAACCCTAAACCTATAGCTATACCCAGTAATTCGATGCCTATTGAGGATCCTATTATGGAATCCCGAAAAGGACTACTATGGGGCCTATGGGTAATCGGAGCAGAAGCCAGCAAACAACTGACTGCGGCACTGTGTGCGGGAGCCTCACTAGCCCGCCATTCCTGTTGTATTAGGATTTACGGGTTTAGGGTTTAGGGCTTAGGGTTTCGGGTCTAGGGTTTAGGGGTTGCATTTGTACACCTTTACGGCATATACACAACCAAGCACAGTTTCATTTTACATCTACCCATCTCAGCCTCAAAGTTCTACTCCAGCAGCCTGCAAGAAAAGACAGCACATGCTGCTACTCGTAACCACTCTGTTCAACCCTGTCACCAGGCCTTTTGCCCAACCCTATCCTCGAAAGACCAACTGGAAAACTCTAAACCCTAAGCCCTAAACCGTTTATAAGCCCTAAACCCTAAACCCCTAGACCCTAAACCCTGAGCCCGAAACCCTAAACCCTCAACTCCCCTAAACCCCTAAAACCCTGAAGCCCCTTAATTCCGAAATCTTCTGTGGCCCGTCCTGGCAGACGGCGGAGTTCCACAGCTCTGCTGCCTCTGTGTCAGATTTAGGGTTTAGGGTTTAGGGTTTAGGGTCAAATGAAACCTTTGTGGTCTGAAAAGTCGGTGTTTTGGGGCGGTGCTGCGTGGCCCTAAACCCTAAACTCTAAACGCTACAAGCCCGAATCCCGAAACCTAGAGGTCATCTGAGGGGCTCTAGGAAGGGATGAGCCTGGCAGCTCGGAGGGCTTTACCTCAATTCTCGAGGTTTACATGTGCATGCACTCTTTCTAAGGGTCCATGTGCCCATGCGCACCTTCTGCTAAGGTCCTTGGAAGCTTCTGTAGGCGTTCAGAGGGATTTTTATGTAGGGCCTACTATACCCTAAGGGTCCATGTAATGATACAGTATATACATTGGCCCCCAGGTAATTACCTATACCTATACAAGGACTATACTTTAAAGCCAAAGGAGGTGCATGGGGTCTTGGGGATAGCTATAGGGTTCTAGAGGGTCCATGTACCTCTCTAGCACCTACTTCCGCGCAGAAGTCACCGCAGTCCTTCACAGGAACTGAAGATTTCAGCTTTCGTGCGGTTTAGGGTTTAGGGTTTAGGGTTTAGGGTTTAAGACGCAGGCAGATATCCTCCCTGAGCCCGAAGCCCTAGCCCGCAAGCCAATCTATCAGCCCCAAGCCTTCAACCTTAGCCTTAGCCCCTGGCCGAAACCCGAAACCCTAAACCCTAAGCCATCCTAAACCCTAGACCATCCTGAACCCTAAACCATCCTAAACCCTGAACCATCCTAAACCCTAAACCATCCTAAACCCTAAACCATCCTAAACCCTGAACCATCGTAAACCCTAAACCATCCTAAACCCTAAACCATCCTAAACCAATCCTAACCCAGGCCGTGCGAACTTCGGAGGAGGCGTCGGGACGAAGGGCCAAGGAAGAGCAGCTCCTCGCCATGACTTGTGAGGCTTTTAAATTTAAGTGGTGTCATGATGAGGTACTGTAGGGGCCTTAGTAATTAGAACAGGTTTTGGGCCCCTTAATACTAAATATTCTGTATGTTTTGATGAGGAACCCTAAGGAATAATATTGGTAATGAATCATTTAGGCATCTACATTACATGTGCCCTGCGACTGTGTTGGGGCTTCGGGTGGTCAGGGTGTAGACTTTCAGTTTCCAGGTTTCCACAACCCCAAAGCCCCAAACCCCTCAACCTTGAACCCTAAACCCCAAACCCCCCAATAGACCTTAAATCCCTCAACACCTTAGACAACAAGCCCAACCAAAAGCTTCCCGGGAACTGTAGAACTCCCCAGGGTCAACGACCCGAAGCTCCGAGCCCCCCACCTGCAGTGACCGCCTCTTAAGGCGTCCAGGATTCGATCCGCCTTTCGGGTT